CGGAGCTGCAAGTAAAAGCGCCCACATCGAGGCGAGGCGAAAGCCAGCGCATCAGATCAAGGGGAAGAAAGAAAAAACGGCGAGTGCCTGGGTGGGTGACTGGGGCGGGGGAGAGAAATACACACACCACGGACCCACAAAATAAACATTTCCGACCAAATCCGGATCTGCAGCCGTTCCAAGGGGGCTGGTCTCAGCCTCCTCCTTCCCAGCTCTGAGTTATTCCACGCTGAAGGGAAGTGAACACAAACTAATCCAAGACCCAAGAATTTTCCATATTCCTAAAACATGTCGACCAACTCAAAATGGACGCCTGAGTGTGTGTGTGCACGAGAGAGAGCGAGAGCGAGAGAGTGTTAAAAAAAACCGTTCCAAGCACAGCTTCACTCTTTCCCTCTATTATGATTATTAACATAAAGGCATTTCAAGGCAAAGCACAGAGAAATAAAGGCTGATCTTTAAAACCGTTCCTCACTTTAGGCAACCTTTCGTTACACACACACACACACACACACACACACACTCCAAGAAACAAAAACAAAACAAAAAATAAAAGCGTCTTGCTCACAGGTCGGTATTTCTCAGCTAACGCGGACTCTCCGGCTGTTTAGAAAGTGTACGATCAAAAGAAGAAGAAAAGGCAGAAAGAGAACAGAAGGACGCTCAGTGCAGAGAAACAGAACTGAATTGATTTGTTCTTACTTGTTTTTCATTAAGAGCTGCTATTCTCGACTGCCTCTCTTGGACTTGTTTCTTAAGATTCCCGTTCTGTAAAAATGGCAACAAAATGCAGATTAAAAACCAAGTGCAAACTACAGCTAGTTAAAAGTAAACTTGCGTCTAGGAATGGCTCCGAGCGAAAGCGCTAGGAAAATCAGGCACAATGAGCAGGGAAGGGAGAGAAGTCGAGGCAGAGATGGAGATAAAGTAACAAAGATCAGCCCGGACTTCAAAGGCAACCTCCTAGGGATAAAGTTTCTCCCCCGGAGGTCACCGCACTTATGGCAGCAGAGCTGAAATCCTGAGGAAGCCGGGCTCTTCTTTTAATTAAAAAATACACCCATCTGCATTTACCTGTGGATTTTGCTTCATCTGTGCAACTAGTTTCTGTTTAAAGGGGGGGAAAGCACCCCGAAAGAGAACGAATTAAAAGTCTTAGAGGTGTAATGGATTTTTTAAAACGTGCGGGTGTATATGTGCGTGTGTGTGTGTGTGTGTGTGTGTGCGGGGAGGACGGGGAGGGAGGGGTGTGGAACAAAGAGGCAAGTAAACACAGCGAGTCAGTTTCAAGCAAAGCTCATAAATATTCAAGTCTCGTCCTAATCTCTCCAACACACACTCACGGGCGTACGTCTACACACACACTCGCTCGCACGCGCACACACGTACGAGGATCCACCGCAAGGGCGACTCCGGATCGAAGCCCCGCAGATTCCCACGCCGAAAGTCAGCCAAACAATCCGTGGAGGAACTTCGCCGAAGTGCTCCCGGCGGCGGTCGGAGGC